TTTGGGAACCATATGTAGCGGTGGGTCCATGGGCTCTTGGAAATATGAACGATACCGAGACGAAGCATATGTTTGAAGTCTGCCTTGGCTATCAAGAGGTTCTCTGGTGGTAATCGTCGAGGTCGGGCAGTCACTGGAGGTCCATATGTTAAGATGTGGTGCGTAATTGCGTGCTTCGGGCCAGGAGTCGTTGGACTAATAAAATGTAAGAAATTGAAGAAGTAGTATGGGGAACATGTTGTTGGCGATTAATGCTCAGTGGACACTGACCGAACTGATGGAAGTGACTTTACTCAAAACAGTCACGGGCGCCAAACTATCGCGCAGATTTTGATTATGCGGATCCACAATGTGGCCGAACTTGGTGGGAAAGTCAACACCAAGGACAGGGTGCTGGACGTCAGCAATGAGAAAAGCAGAAGGAAGTCTTCGACGGAGACCAAGGCTGAGAGTGAGCATTTTCTGGCCGTATAATTTTTTGTGTTCTTAGCCGCCTGCTATGTCAGCCCGGTTGGAAGTAGATTGCGTTTTGCTGCAGCACAAAGAATAACGCTGATCTCGGCGTCGGTGTCGAGCAAGAAGTATAAATCGGTGGAAGGAATCGAAGACGTAAAGTAGGTGATTATAAGGGTGGCCAGACGCAGCTGTTACTATTAATGACTGGCGTGGTTTCCCTACTGCGATTTTCGGAATGCTTTCGGATGCTTACAACCAGGTTGACGATTTCTAGCGTCAACTCCAAAACAGTGATAATACTAAGAGAACTCGCATTTCGAACTCCTGGCGGGACTACGTTTATTTCAGGAGGTGCGCCTATGACTTCTACAAAGATAACGATTCATACTCGAGATGGCGAGCTCCAGATTTGATTGCCTATTGCAAATCGATTCAGTAGCCATTCTTAGTAGTGACGTGGGCTGTCGATTCCACAGTGACACACTGTGTTTGAATGAAGCACATGTGAACCTTATCGGCGGTGTCGGCCAGCTTGTTCAGAGAGACTATCTGTGAATACAGCGAGAAGAGCTAGGTGTAAGCTGGAAGATATTTCGTCTACAGGTGTCGCAGAGTAATGTCGTCGATCTTAGTGGAACAGACCAATGTACACATGAGCCTGAGGAGTTGTGACGGGGTGCGGTAGCCTAACAACCCCCCGAAGGAAGCTGTTGCAGTCTAGCGTCGTCGGAAGCCGTGGTGCGCTTTAAAAAGGCGACTTTGAACTTATAAAACGCATCATCTAGAATTATATCAGGCAGATCCAGGAGGACAGCAGTAACATGTGCGAACATCATTGACTGCGAGTCAATGCGACGGATAGGAAAAGTGACTTCCAATTGCAAAATACAACAAAAATTGCCGAGATGTTAGTGCGAGAAACGTGGTCCGACATTGTAAATACACGAAAGGTTCAAACTTTCAAAAAATGGAAAACAAGGTTACCAGATAGGACGATGGAAAAAGCAAACCAAAAGGACTTAACTACATAAAAGAAATTTCAGGCTATGAGAATGTTAGACCTAACCTTCGGTTAGGTAAGATCATTGTTAGTCCGCCAATTAGTCGCGCAATCCGATGCACAGGAGGACAGTTTAGTCAGTAGGTTAACACCGCGTTGTAGCTCGATGATCGACGACCGAGGCAAGCAAACCGACGATAGGCAACACAACTGGTGTAGGTGAAACCAGAAGGCCAATCGAAATTCGAAGAAGTTTTAATCGGTTTTCAAACAATAAAACAAAACTAGAAAATAAATAATGGGAACGGCAATTGGAAAGGAAGAGTTGCACAAGCACTACATCCGTTGCGCATGCCCATCCAATGCGAGTTATCTAATGTTATTTTTTGTTCAAAGAACTAGCCTGATTACCACTGCCTTGAACTCAACTACACACATCATCGTTGCACATACGATGCTACCATCCGATACCAGCAATGCATCGCAGGCAGTGATGAGCAGAGTTGAATGTGAATAAGATCATCAGACTGAAGGAGAAAACTCACTTTTATAGAGTAGGAAAGCCATCTAGACATCGTCTAACGCAGAACAAACTGGAAGTCGAGTCAAACAATCTGTGTTGTGATGGACGGAATGACTGAGGCGACGTTGTTAAGCTACCTTTGGAAGGACACGTCTGACCCTAAAACTGTTGCTCATTGTATTCGAACGCTGTGGATGGAAAGGCATAATGATTGGGACGATAAGCTGCCAAGTACCTTACGGGCCCGAACATGTCCGAAAAATTCGCGGGCATAATGTGCAGAAACCCAGAGGAGATGTGGCAGAATTGGCAGTTATAGATTGAGTCGGCGACATGACGACGATAGTCAGTATTGAAAAAAGTGCCATGGTGGCAGTGGTATCCGAAAACTCAATGATGTTGAGGGAAGCAGTATTAATGACAGGCGAAAGTGATCGACTTGTTGGTGAAGATTTTGACGCAAGGGATTCGTCCTCATTACCATCAATACACATTAGCTGAGGGTGGATAACACAAACCAGCTAATGCGTAGAAATACAAAAAAGAACAGTGCAAAAATTATAAAAGTAATATAATGTTAAATATTATATCACACATTAAATATGAGATCGTGCTTAGAGGGGGTCAAACCAAACGAGTTAATCCTTCTTGTAACTACAGCCCAGCAACCGGAGTGTACCAACCGACGCCAACTTCGAAGTGAGGGTTTTCATTTCTTTCGACCAAGTCATCGCTTGGCCTCCCCTGCACGTAAACAACACACGACGCGGGAGTCGCTGTGCTGGCACGCTCAACACGTGGCCCATCTAAGGGAGCCTGGTGCGTGATATAATGGTGCTGAGCGGTTCGCTCGCGCATTCTGCACCAAATACGCGACGCCAAACACGCTCATTGTTCACGCGGAGCTCCCACCAGACATGAGCTAACCTGCGAAGGCAGCCATGAGCAGCCTCTTTATGTCTGTCGACCTAATGGGCCAGGTTTCACAACCATATAAGAAGGTTGAACGGATGGCTGCATTATAAACTTTGCCCTTCACACATAGAGTGATGTCGCGTCTGCGCCATAGGTGGCGGAGACTGGCAAAAGTACCTCCAGCTTTTGCTATGCAGTTTTTGAGTTCAAAGTCGATATAACGGGGGATAATATAGCTGCCCAGGTACTTGAATTCTTGAACTACTTCTAGATGATCACCACCAAGGGTCAGCGCAGGATGCGGTCCTCGACAATCTTGGAGGAAAGTTTGCACTTCGGTGGAGCAAATAGTCCAAAAGGATTGACAGCCAGTGCTAATCTGTTCAGTGCCGCTTGGCACTTTTGGGATCTGCCACAGATTAGGGCAATATCATCCGCATACTACAAGTCAAGAAGTCGCTCACCAAGAAGTAGCTCCATACCTTCTAGGTCGTGTCCAGCGAATGCTAAGTCAACTGCGAAGTTACATAGGAAAGGTGATAGCGGGCAACCTTGTCTCACACAGCTGGAGATATTGAAGGGCGGCGGCAGTTTGCCATGAACCATCAGTCTGCCCGAACTTTGCGCGTACAGTGCTCTGATAATGTTTACGTACTTATCTGGCGCACTATTTCTCAACAGATAGTTCCATAGGTCAAATCGATTCATCGAATCAAAGAGACCTCTGAGGCCGAGAAACATGAGAAGGGTGAGTCGCCAGTAAACATGGCGGTGCTTCAACAATTAACGCAAAGCAGTATTCGATGCAGTTGTAGCGATTGTAAATAATTTGCTTATTTTGCATTTTCATGTTTACCTATTTCGCTGCAGTTGTTGTACAGCTTTGTTTTAACGAAATCGAGACTGCGTCGAATACTGCTTTACGTTAATTGTTGAAGCACCGCCATGTTTATTGGCGACTCACTCTTCTCATGTTTCTCGGCCTCAGAGGTCTCTTCGATTCGATGAATCGATTTGACCTATGGAACTATCAGTTGAGAAATGGTGCGCCAGATAAATACGTAAACATTATCAAAGCGCTGTACGCGCATAGTTCGGGCAGACTGATGGTTCATGGCAAACTGTCGCCGCCCTTCAATATCTCCAGCTGTGTGAGACAAGGTTGCCCGCTATCACCTTTCCTATGTAACTTCACAGTTGACTTAGCATTCGCTGCACACGACCTAGAAGGTATGGAGCTACTTCTTGGTGAGCGACTTCTTGACTTGTAGTATGCGGACGATATTGCCCTAATCTGTGACAGCTCCCAAACGTGCCAAGCTGCACTGAACAGATTAGCACTGATGGTCAATCCTTTTGGACTATTCGCTCCACCGAAGTGCAAACTTTCCTCCAAGATTGGCGAGGACCGCATCCTGCGCTGACCCTTGGTGGTGATCATCTAGAAGTAGTTCAAGAATTCAAGTACCTGGGCAGCTATATTAGCCCCCGTTATATCGACTTTGAACTCAAAAACTGCATAGCAAAAGCTGGAGGTACTTTTGCCAGTCTGCGCCACCTGTGGCGCAGACGTGACATCGCTCTATCTGTGAAGGACAAAGTTTATAATGCAGCCATCCGTTCAACCTTCTTATACGGTTGTGAAAACTGGCCCATTAGGTCGACAGACACAAAGAGGCTGCTCATCTCTGCCTTCGCAGGTTAGCTCATGTCTGGTGGGAGCTCCGCGTGAGCAATGAGCGTGTTCGGCGTCGCGTATTTGGTGCAGGAAGCGCGAGCGAACCGCTCAGCACCATTATGTCACGCACCAGGCTCCCATAGATGGGCCACGTGTTGATCGTGCCAGCACATCGACTCCCACGTCGTGTGTTGTTTAGGTGCAGGGGAGGCTAAGCGATGACTTGGTCGAAAGAATTGAAAACCCTCACTTCGAAGTTGGCGTCGGCTGGTACATCCCGGTTGCTGGGCTGTAGTCACAAGGACGATTAACTCGTTTGGTTTGACCCCCTCTAATCACGATCTCATATTTAATGTGTGATATAATATTTAACATTATATTACTTTTTTAATTTTTGCACTGTTCTTTTTTGTATTTCTGCACATTAGCTGGTTTGTGTTATCCACCCTCAGCTAATGTGTATTGATGATAATGAGGACGAATCCCTTGCGTCAAAATCTTCACCAACAAGTCGATCACTTTCGCCTGTCACTACTACTGCTTCCCTCAACATCATTGGGTTTTCGGATACCACTGCCACCATGGCACTTTTTTCAATACTGACTATCGTCGTCCCCTCGCCGACTCAATCTATAACTGTCAATCCTGCCACATCTCCTCTGCGTTTCTGCACATTATGTTCGCGATTTTTTCGAACATGTTCGGGCCCGAAAAGGTACTTGGCAGCTTATCGTCCCAATCATTCTGCCTTTCCATCCACAGCGTTCGGATACAATGACCAACAGTTTAAGGGTCAGACGTGTCCTTCCAAGGGTAGCTTAACATCGTCGCCTCAGTCCTTCCGTCCATCACAACACAGATTGTTTGACTCGACTTCCAGTTTGTTCTGCGTTAGAAGATGTCTTGAGGGCTTTCCTGCTTTATAAAAATGAGAGTGTACTCCTTCAGTCTGATGATCTTATTCACATTCAACTCTGCTCATCACTGCCTGCGATGCATTGCTGGTATCGGATGGTAGCATCGTATGTGCAACGATGATGTGTGTAGTCGAGTTCAAGGCAGTGATAATCAGGCCAGTTCTTTAGAACAAAAATAACATTAAATAACTTGCATTGGATGGGCATACGCAACGGATGTAGTGATTGTACAACTCTTTCTTTCCAATTGCCGTTCCTATTATTTATTTTCTAGTTTTGTTTTATTGTTTAAAAACCGATTAAAACTTCTTCGAATTTCGATTTGCCTTCTGGTTTCACCTACGCTAGTTGTGTTGCCTTTCGTCGGTTTGCGTGCCTCGGTCGTCGATCATCGAGCTACAACGCGGTGTTAACGTACTGACTAAAATGTCCTCTTCCGCATCGGATTGCGCGACTAATTGGCTGAGTACCGAAGATCTTGCCTAACCGAAGGTTAGGTCTAACATTCTTATAGCCTAAAATTTCTCTTATGTAGTTAAGTCTTTTTGGTTTGTATTTTTCCATCGTTCTATCTGGTAACCCTGTTTTCCATTTTTTGAAAGTTTGAACTTTTTTGCGTATTTACGATGTCGGACCACGTTTCTCTCACTAACATTTCAGCAATTTTTGTTGTTTTTTTGCAATTAGAAGCCACTTTTCGTATCCGTCGCATTGACTCGCAGTCATTGATGTTCGCACATGTTACTGCTTAGCTTACTATCACCGCAACTGACCTCATAAATCTGCCTGATGGGATTTTAGATGATGCGTCTTATAATAAGTTCAAAGCCGCCTTTTTAAAGTGCACCACGGCTTCCGACGACGCTAGACTGCAACAGCTTCTTTCCGGGGTTGTTAGGCTACCGCACCCCGTCAAAACTCCTCAGGCTCATGTGTACATTGGTCTGTTCCACTAAGATCGATGACACTACTCTGCGACACCTGTAGACGAAATATCTTCCAGCGTACACCTAGCTCTTCTCGCTGTATTCACAGATGGTCTCTCTGAACAAGCTGGCTGACACAGCCGATAAGGTTCACGTGTGCTTCATTAAAACACAGTGTGTCACTGTGGAATCGACAGCCCACGTCACTACTAAGAATGGCTACTGAATCGATTTGCAATAGGCAATCAAACCTGGAGCTCGCCATCTCAAGTATGAATCGTTATCTTTTTAGAAGTCATAGGCGTACCTCTTGAAATAAACGTAGTCCCGCCAGGAGTTCGACATGCGAGTTCTCTTAGTATTATCACCGTTTTTTAGATGACGCTAGAAATCGTCAACCTGGTTGTAAGCATCCGAAAGCATTCCTAAAATCGCAGTAGGGAAACCACGGCAGCCATTAATAGTAACAGCTGCGTCTGGCCACCCTTATAATCGCCTACTTTACGCCTTCGATTCCTTCCACCGATTTATACTTCTTGCTTGACACCGACGCCGAGGTCAGCGTTATTCTTTGTGCTGCAGAAAAACGCAACCTACTTCCAACCGGGCTGACATAGCAGGCGGCTAACAACACAAAAATTTATACGGCCAGAAAATGCTCACTCTCAGCCTTGGTCTCCGTCGAAGATTTCCTTCTGCTTTTCTCATCGCTGGCGGCCAACACCCTGTCCTTGGTGTTGACTTTCTCACCAAGTTCGGCCACATTGTGGATCCGCATAATCAAAAACTGCGCGATAGTTTGACGCCCGTGACTGTTTCGAGTAAAGTCACTTCCATCAGTTCGGTCAGTGTCCACTGAGCATTAATCGCCGACAACATGTTCCCCGTACTACTTCTTCAATTTCTTACATTTTATTAGTCCAACGACTCCTGGCCGGAAGCACGCAATTACGCACCACATCTTAACACATGGACCTCCAGTGACTGGCCGACCTCGACGATTACCACCAGAGAACCTCTTGATAGCCAAGGTAGACTTCAAACATATTCTTCGTCTCAGTATCGTTCATATTTCCAAGAGCCCATGGTCCAACCACTACATATGGTTCCCAAAAATTCTGATGAAGACTGGAGACCTGGAGATTAACGGTTTATAACAATGCCACTATCATTGAAAAATATCCAATTGCACACGACCTTAATTTTGCAATAGATATGCATGAAAGAACTTTCTCTAAGACAGACTATATATATATATATATATATATATATATATATATATATATATATTTGTCAGGCAGGCAGGCCTAGTGAGCCATGAGAGAGGTCACTCGGGACCACTGCGGAAGCGCCGACGGGTCCCGCAGTGAACGTAGGCAGCACCGGCGCAGCGTTTGTAGGCACGCTGAATTCGATTTACTAACCGCATGCTTGCATGCTGAGTCACTTTATTTCAGGTGGTGGGTTTTCGGTTCTCTCCTAATGCCTTTCTTTCTCATATAAATGTCTAGCGGGCCATGAGCTATGCCATTAGGGGCCACTACAGAAGCAACGACGGGTCCTACAGAGAATTACGGCGAGTCGGCACAGCGTTTGTAGGCACGCTGAAATCGATTTACTAACCGCGTGCTTGCATGCTAAGTCTCTTTGTTTTAGGTGGTGGGTTTACAGTTTTTACCTTAATGCTTTTCTTTCTCATATAAATACCTCCCTGTACTCTATTTCATTAACTTGCACACATCGCCTAAGCCAATTGTATTCGATTTCTGTAACATTTTTGTGTTCGTGGCATTCCGTGAACTATACTTTCTGATCTCGTGCACTTAGCTAGGATTGGTTTGTAATCAACTTATTACTTATGCTATTTAATTAAGGTTTATATCACCGTTTCCTTATGCATTAATCGAGTTTTTCTCTTCTTCTTTCTCTCTTTCAAGTGTTTGGCTGTTGTTTGATATCCCCGATGTGGATGCGCTTGATGTGCATGTTGACAAGGTGCCTACCTGTCTATTACCCACTACCTCGTCCATACTGGCTCCAGGAGACAGTTGGTCGTTGCTGGAGGGGACAGGGTGCACGGTCCTTGTGGCCGTGTTAGGATCAAAGACTGGTTCCATGCAGTCAGTGTGGAGCGGACTACGGTCCAGCCACCGCCTGGTGTGCGCTTGATTCCCAAATACAGTGTGCTTGTGTTTGCCTGTGAAGGAGTGTGGGCCGGCTCCGCTGATGAAACGTGGTTCCAATCCGCATGCCTCCCGGTCTTATTCCTTCGGGTTTACACTGGATATGGGGTGTGTGGTTGGAGCTGTGGGTGGTGCAGCGCAAGCCATCCATGATCCCTCTGTAGGCGCAGGCGTCCTGTGGCTTGCCACAGTGACAGGCAAATCCGAAACCAGATGCCGCCAACCATATATATATATATATATATATATATATATATATATATATATATATATATATATATATATATATATATATATATATATATATATATATATATATATATATATATATATATATATATATATATATATACATATATATATATATATAAATCTGCTGGGTGATTTCAACTCACGCGTTGCGCATGATTCTTCGGTGCGTAGAGATCTCGTCGGTGCGCATGGCATTGGTTCAGCTAATGGGACCGATAACAGGCTGCCCTCACTGTGTACCACTCACGGCCTGACGATCACGAACACTCGGTTCGCACTGAGTGCGAGTGATATAGCAACCTGGACGCACCCACGGAGTGGTCACGCTCACCTGCTCGACTACGTCATCGTACGTCAGCGTGATATGCGTGAAGTGCGCATGACACGTGTACTGTGTGGAGCTGACTGTGGCACTGATCACAAATTGGCGCGGACTAAACGGTACATATATTTTCGTGAATCGATGTATTACACTCTCACCGTGAATCGGCGTAAATTTAACATTCTCTCCTTTAGGTAATGTGGAAAAACGTACTGAGCTGGAGAAAGCGATAGATGCACATCTGTGTGATGTGCACTGCATAGCCACAGTGGGCGATCTGTGGCACCTCATTCGCGACCAGGTGAGAGCTGCTGCCGAGGAGACCATCGGGCGCACAAACTGTAAGCGGCCCAATTGGTTTGATGACAACAATGCGACGATCGGCGCATTGGTGTCGGAGAAGAATGCAGCATTTGCTGCACATGTCGCAGACCTCAGTGACTTGGGGAAGAGTAGTCAGTTTCACGAACTTCGACGTTGACTAACTTGAGAGCTCCGTCGCATAAAAAAATGCATGATGGACGGAGGAAGCGAAGCAGAAGGGATGCTACGCTGAATGTCGTCAACACAAGGAATTCTTCGACTCCGTGGAGGCGGTGTATGGACCGAGATTGGAGCCGATGAGGACGCTGCTCGATGGTAGTTCAGGCGCTACCAGCACAGACTGCAGACATAATGCAGATCTGACTGAAACACTGATTGTGTCTTGAACAGCCGTTCAGAGCTCGACTGGCCTACCTTGAACGGCCTGAAGCAGCACGATGTGTAGGCGAGCCTGGCGGATACACCGATACTGGATGAGACGCAGCGAGCACTTGCTCAGCTGCGAAACGGCAAATGTGCCGGTGCCGACGGGATCCTGCTTAAAGTATTTAAACACGGTGGACCCACTTGATGCAACGCATGTTGATTTAGGTGTCTCCTAAGCTCAAGGATGCCCTTGTGCTACCACTGAACAAGGGCAAAGGGTGCAAGCCATGTTGTACGAATTATCGTGGCATCAACTTGCTGAGTTGTGTGAGCAAGAGGATTGCCCGAATCCTGCTCAACTGCCTCCTCAGTCAAGTTTTAAAACCGGACGTGGCGGAAGATCAATGTGGATTCCGTTCGGGTCGCAGCACTATAGATATGGTGTTTGCGGCTCGTCATTTGCAGGAAAAGTGTAGAGAAATACACCATCCTTTGTACTCGCTGTTTATAGACTTCACCAAGGCATTTGATACGATGAACCGCGAGGCATTGTGGCTGGTGTTGGGTAACTTTGGTTGCCCGCGTAAGTTTGTAAATTTAATTGTATGTCTGCACAGTGGTACGCGGGAGAGGGTGTAGTTGAGTGGAGAGACCTTGGATGACTTTGCAGTTTTCTATGGTGTGAAGCAGGGCTGTGTCTTAGCTACTGCCCTGAATAATGTTTATCTTTACGCCATGATGTCATGTACGTTTTGATGCTGCTTGTGTTTACGGTGTTCGTGTGAAGCACCGTATTCTTAGTG